TGTTGATAAACCTACGTAATTCCTTAAAAAAGCATTTCGGTTATTTTTAAATAAAAATACTAAAAAATATATAAGACAGTGGCAAGTTCAAAGTGTCACATTTCCTTTGTCGCACACTGTGCGGCAAAGTCCGTGCGTAAAAGTAAAACAAATGAGCGCTAAAGAAAAGTGCTTCTTTTTGATCATCGCTTCTGTTTGCAAAATGGCACTTTTTGATTCATTCGAATAAAAATGTGATTAAATATAGATCACTTAGTCTTTGTCATATTTAATTATTTTTTTATAAATCCTCCTTATAATTACAAGATGCTTTGCAGCAGATTTTAGACTTGGAAATTAAAAGTAACGAAAATGTATTTATTTTGCAGACTACCACAGTTGCCAGTTGTGCAATAAAGTATAGCGTTAGCTGAAAATGTATCCTTGCAGAAATAGTACATTACGATTCACGAGACTGAAGTTCAAACAATGACCCAATGTTACTTTTCTATTATTTATGACGGAATATGAGGTTTGTGGCGCCGCGGATGATATATAAATTTTAGTACAAATGAAATGACTGCACACAGCATTTTTTATATTTCTGAACCGACACTTAAAAGTAGCAAACAATCTAGAGTGCACACTACCAATCGCAAAATGCTCAATTTTTGTCTACAAAATTTTCAAACATGCCTAAACGCATTGACCCTATGATACAACGAATTCATTGTACGACAATGAATTCATTGTCGTACAATGAATTCATTGTATGATACAATCAATTCATTGTATGAACATGCATTCATTCATTGTGATACAATTAATTAATTATTTCGTTTGGCTCAACCCGATTTCTCAAATGACACTCTGGCAACACAGCACGCTAAAACGCTGAATATCGGAGATTTTGTAAAGAATTATTTAGGGTACTTTTCTTACCAATAGGCCTAAATCAGGTCCCAAACGCGATTTTTAAAGTATTCGGCTATGCAATGCTGCAAACCATATCCTCAAATAACTTTTCATTTTTGAACTATTGCGTTTTGAATTCAGTGAAAATTTGTCTAGGTTACATGCATTTTAAATTGGATTAGCTGTTCACTTTACCAAAGTGGTAACCAGCGACGTCTTGTGCGCACGAAAATCGAGTTTTCGACCGATTAATATTCTACATTGTATTCATTGTATCATGGCATGGAACTAATTCACTTCTATTCATAGTCGTACCCGAATCCGACCATCACTATCTCGGGGTGCGACAGCTTGCACAGCACTACCCCGCACTGTCAAATCAATCATTTCCCGTTCAACGTAGCCAAGCCTACGGAACTTTCCCACGTCTGGCAGTTTTGCAACTGAACAAACCTCCCAAAACCAAGCTTTTTCTCCAAAATAGCCACTCCAGAAAGGACAAAAAATGCAAATATGAAAAAACAGACCAAACTCTGCATCAAGATAAATTATAGACTCAACCAATATGCGTGTTGGGAAATGGCTAACGACCACCCGGCAACGCCGTTGACAGTCAGTTGAGTTCTTGCGCCGCTTCAGTGTGGAAAATGCGAGGACAATCTTGACAACCATTTTTTTTTAACCTTGTTATTGTTTACAAATCGGGGGCCCAGATTGTCGGCCAAGAGAGGCCCATCGCAGGGAATGAGCGTTGAAATGGAGTGCGAGCCGATGGAGAAGGCCGAGGACAGCGAGGAGTCGGAGGATGAGAAGTGCACTTACATCCGGACTCGTCGCGGTGTCATTCCAGTGAGCAAAGTGAAACAAGACAAGAAACCCGATCGCCTGAACGGCGAGTACTCGTACCAGAACACGATCAAGCAAAGAGTGATCGGCCAGCCGTGCATCGATTGCAAAATGGAGTGCGATCATCGCATTGCCGAGCGATTTCGTCAGGACAACTACTTGAACTTTTGGGGCAAACTGAAGAGCTGGGAGGAGCGACGAACCCACGTGCGGCGCCTAGTTCAAGTGCTGCGCGTCCCGCACCCGAAAAACAAAATGCGCAAAAAGTTCCTCCGCAAATACTACTTGGAGATGGAACAGGGCTTCACCCTGGTCTGCAAGACCATGTTCTTCAACACTTTGGCCATCAGCGCCAAGTTCATCGAAACCACACTGCAAAAGTATCCGGAGAATGTGCTGGACGAGACCAAGATCAAGCTAGTGAACAACCCGAGCACCATTCCAAAGAGCCTGGACAATATCAATAACTCTCCGCGCCTCATGAAGAAGCCCCAAAAGGAGCAAACCCTAAACGCCCCCATCAAAGAGGAGCTTCCGATCGAGGGCCAGCTGCTGGACCTGCAAAGCAAGTCCACTATGCGACCTCCCTGTTCCTGCCCGGAGCAGTGCGGCTCCAAAATCACTCAGGAGTCCCGTCTCAAGATCTACGACCACTTCTGGATGAAACTCAGGTCGTGGGAGGAGCGCAAGCTCTTCATTATCAACACCATTGAAAAGGACCGATATACTTCCATTAGGACGTTTGTGCTGCCCATCAAGGACGGCGGGCATATCGTGGTCTGCCAGGTAACTTCACTAAGACTTCAAAAATTGCTGAATAATTGCCCAAATTTTCGTATAGGAAATGTACCTGAACACGCTATCGCTGACTGAGAAGACCATCGACCTGCTGCTGCCCAAAAGCGAGCCGCTAAAGCCGAAGCGCAAGCTGCTACCTGATAACACGGACGTGCGTCCCGAGATCAAACCAGAGCCGCCCAAAGAGACGCTAACTACCTTAAACATTGCCAAAGATGCGGCCATTCCGCCGCCCCTCAAACGCTCGCGCCTGGAGTTCAGCCCCCTCCAGCCGCCCTGCTGCTGCCCGATGCAATGCCACATTAAACTAACGGACGACATCAGACAGCAGATACACCGCGAGTTCTGGAACCTGCCGGCGCAAGTCGACAAAAAGCACTTTATCTTGTCGACCATCCAGACGCTGATGAGCCGCGACAAGGCGACCAAAGAACGAACCTACGAGATCAAGCACTTCAGCCTGCCCTTCCACTACAACACGGTGGTGGTGTGCAAAGACATGTACCTGAACACTTTGACGGTGTCCGAGGAGTTCGTCTCGAACACCATCAAGAACGTGAACCACGACGGGAGCATCGTAGAGGACGATGAACAGACAGCGGGGGCTTGTGCTCCTATGAAAGCGGGCTTTCAGCGGCGCGACGGCTTGGAAGAACGCGACTTTATCAATTGTGCCGACTTGCTAGAGAGCCAGATCAAAGAGGACGTACTGCACTCGGCCAAGGCGGAAGTGCGCCGCATCAAAAAGCCGCGCAGCAGCAAGAAAATGGGGCCGCCCTGCCCGCCCTCCTGCCGACACCAGTGCAGCTCCAAGTTCATGGAGGAGGAGCGCAAAACGCTCCACGACAACTTCTGGTACTCCATGAACTGGCAGGAGCGGAAGCAGTTCGTGATGAACACGGTGAAGGAGTTTCCGATCAAAAACCGTTCGATCCCCGGCCGGCAGACCAAGCGCAACTTCAGCCGCATCTATACGCTGCCGCTGCACGACCGCAAAATCACCGTGTGTCAAAAAATGTTCTTCAACACGCTGTCCATCTGCAGCAAATTCGTCTCCACTGTGCATATCTGGGCGTCGCAGGTCAAGTGGTAAGACTTTACAGGGTTTGTTGTTAGCTGCTAGTTTATCTTTATACGTACTGGGTTTGTGAGTGTGAGAACCACACACTGACTACCCCCTGTATACCAAGACGAATCAAATTGCCCAATTTATTCCTATTTTTATATTCGACTTTATTTTAGACTTTATACTTTAGTGAAGACTTTACAACCACTCCCCCATACAACCGCCCCCCCACCAAAATGACATTACTTCGAATATTTTCGTTGCATTTAAACCAATCGAGAACTGAATCAAGTACTTTTAGGTCCTATAACCGAACCACTACTATTTTTAGCGTAAGGATGTACTAATTATGAACTAATTGAAGTTTCGCGACGTAGAACAATAACTCTTATTATTAAGTTGTCCAATTTCCAACAAGGTACCACTAGTTCGGTGTAGAAATACAATTTTTATTAGATTGCAGTTGTTTGATTTGATTGAACAGAAACGTTGCCTGGGAAGACCTCAATAGGCTAGATAGAGTTGAGCAACCAATCACAATCTGGGACTAACCAAAAAATGCACTGTAACTGTTCAACGTTATTTGAAAAAGCCACTTATATTTTCACTGCTATCGCTATTGCGAAGTGTTTCGATCTGTTTGTGTATTTTTTAAATAATTTTCTCGGAATACGGTTACTATTTTTGTTTTATCCATGTTTTGAAACTGAAACTATTTATTTTGTCTCGTGTTAGTGACGTAAAGTTAATTTTTTGTGGAGCTTCTTTTCCACATTAGATGATAATTTTGCACAACGCACTTTATGTAAAGTAAAATTATCTTAAAAAACAAGTATGTCGAATCTGAAACGGCAGGCAGTGGCACATTTGGGTTTTTCTTGTGTTAAAATCAAACAACTTTTGTTCTAATCAATGAATCGTCGTGATTTTTTTCAAAATGAAGCTTAGGTAATCAGGCGATTTAAATGCAAAATCAAGGTTTTTTTGCGACTGGTCGGCTATGAAATGTGTACATTTCAAGTTGCTACCGGCTTCGGTTGGGGAGTTTGAAAGATTTAAGTGGATCGTGGAGTTTAGTAAAATCTTTCATTGTTACTCTCAAAATTATGCGTTTGTCAAAAATCATCTTTTACAGCGGTTTAATTAAAAATTTCCCCGCTTTTTGCCTGAAAAGTATACTATGGAGTTTATAAATTTTATGTTGCTACCTGTTTTCGTTTGAAACTTGCGAATTTTTATAGAGAAGTGGTTAGTTATGTAGAAACGAAATTTTTTAAATTTGCCTTACAAACTTTCTGTTGAAAGATGACAACTTTTTCTTTAAAAATAGTGCGTGACAGCCTGAAACCCGCAGAGCTGAAATTGCTTCTAAATATAGAGCAAACACCGGTCTATTAAAGGTGCAAAGCGGTCAAGCTTATAAAGATCTAGGGACTTTTTGGGGAAGTTTTGAAATTTGCCCTACAAGCTTTTTTTTGAAAGACAACATTTGCTTTAAAAAATCGTGCATTACATCCCGAAACTCGCAAAGGCTGAAATTGCTTCCAAATATGGAGAAAAACTCCCGGCTATTAAAGATGCAAACTGGTCAAGTTTATAAAGATCGAGGGACTTTTCGGAGAAGTTTTGAAATTTGCCTTACAAACTTTTTCTTTGAAAGAAGACAACCTTTGCTTTAAAAAATCGTGCATTACATCCCGAAACTAGCAAAGGCTGAAATTGCTTCCAAATATGGAGAAAACTTTCGCCTATTAAAGACGCAAACTGGCCAAGTTTATAAAGATCTAAGGACTTTTTGGGGAAGTTTTGAAATTTGCCTTAAAAACTTTTTCCTTGAAAGAAGACAACCTTTGCTCTAAAAGTTGTGCATTACATCCCGAAACTCGCAAAGGCTGAAATTGCTTCTAAATATGGAGAAAACTTCCGTCTATTAAAGATGCAAACTGGTCAAGTTTATAAAGATCTAAGGAGTTTTAGGGAAAGTTTTGAAATTTGCCTTAAAAACGTTTTCTTTGAAAGAAAACAAGCTTTGCTCTAAAAAATCGTGCATTACATCCCGAAACTAGCAAAGGCTGAAATTGCTTCCAAATATGGAGAAAACTTCCGTCTATTAAAGATGCAAACTGGCCAAGTTTATAAAGATCTAGGGACTTTTTGGGGAAGTTTCGAAATTTGCCTTACAAACTTTTTCTTTGAAAGAAGACAACCTTTGCTTTAAAAAATCGTCCATTACATCCCGAAACTAGCAAAGGCTGAAATTGCTTCCAAATATGGAGAAAACTCCCGGCTATTAAAGATGCAAACTGGCCAAGTTTATAAAGATCGAGGGACTTTTTGGGGAAGTTTTGAAATTTGCCTTAAAAACTTTTGCTTTGAAAGAAGACAACCTTTGCTTTAAAAAATCGTGCATTACATCCTGAAACTGGCAAAAGCTGAAATTGCTTACAAATATGGAGAAAACTTCCGCTTATTAAAGATGCAAACTGGCCAAGTTTATAAAGAGCTAAGGATTTTTTGGGTAAGTTTCGAAATTTGCATTACAAACTTTTTCTTTGAAAGAAGACACCCTTTGCTTTAAAAAATCATGCATTACATCCCGAAACTCGCAAAAGCTGAAATTCCTTCCAAATATGGAGAAAACTTCCGCCTATTAAAGATGCAAACTGACCAAGTTTATAAAGATCTAGGGACATTTTGGGGCATTTTTGAAATGGTTAATAAATTTTGCAAATATCTATCTAACTAAACTCACCTACTTGACTTGCTTTAGCTTATAAACATTTCGTGAAAGTTTTTTCCTTTTCATAAATGAGCAGAACTGTATAAAAATATCGAAATTCGCATCTTTAAATAGCCTTCTTTAATATATTTTTTTCAAAATTCTCTGACTACCTAAGCTTTATTAAAAAAAATCACGACCATTCATCGATTATCATCGAAAGTTATTTGATTTTAAAACAAAAAATTGGTGATTGTGCCGTTTGAGTCCATCGCATGTTTAGTTTTTTTCTGGTTTTATCGTAACGCCCACTTTCATTAAGGAGTTTCAGCGAAAGAAAATCCTCCAACAAGTTCAGCAAAACCATTGAAAGCAAATGAAAGAAGATTCACTTACCTTAGCAATGAGGCTGCGAATAACCCTTAGATTGTCCACGTCGCTGAAGCTGTTGTGATGTTGAGGAACCCCAGCCAATCCCACCGCAATAGAGTTGTCTTTGTGGGCTGTCGCCTCTGCAAACAAGCGGAGCGCTCATTGAAGCTTCAATAAATCAAACTAGGGGCAAATAAGGTAGCGGTCCCACACCAACCACTGACATCAACTATCACCCACTACCACCGACTAAAACCAGGGAATATGCACCGAACGGTCTCACATCAATCATTCACCTGCTCACTGTACAAGTTTATAATCACACTTTTTTTTAAACGGTGCTTAGCAGTGGATGACTAGTGAAGCTTTCTGTGAGAACATTTAATGGGAATCGCAGATGTTGGAATTCTGCTTGATGGTCATCGGTGATCGGTGTTTCTGTGGGACCGACGCCTAACTTACGTTGTCCTTGGATGTCTTTCAACGCCGTTCCTTTGCCGTACTGGCCAGGAGATGGGACCTCCAGCTTGTCGAAACGGGGCGCCATGGTGAGACAGCTGACGGGCAGCGAGGCCGGACAGTAGCCCTTGAAAAAATCGTGGTGGCTCAACTTGCTGATTTTCGGACGCTGAGACGGGTCCGACTGCAGCATGATCATGATCATGTGCTTGGCAGTGGGCGATAGCGCAATGGTAAACCTGAAACACCTTCCGTTAGCAACCCTCGGTTAACTAGCAATTTACAATCCTTACTTATAGTCGCATTTCTTGATTTTGGCGTAGGTCTCCTTTAGGCTGGAGGTTTCAAAGGGCGGCCGTCCCACCATGAGGGTGTACATGATGCAGCCCAGCGACCAAATATCCACCTCAAAAGAGTGGCCCTGTTTGCTGAGGATTTCCGGGGCGATGTAGTTGGGAGTGCCACACAGTGTTCGCTTGCGCTCGCCATCAAACTCGATCTTGGCGGCCAGGCCAAAGTCGCCGATCTTCACCTGCACGTTGTCGTTCAGGAACAAATTGCCCAGCTTGAGGTCCCGATGGATAATGCGGTGACTGTGCAAGTAGTGGACGCCGCTAACAATCTGGTTCATGTAGTAGCGCGTCTCCGGCTCGGTAATCACTTGCCGTCTTTTGTACAGCTCCATCATGGAGCGGCGCTTGCACAACTCCAGCACGATGTAAATGTTGTCGTGGTCCTCGAAGAAGCCGAAAAACTCCACGATATGCTGATGGTTCAATCTGGAGTGGATCTGGATTTCCTGCGTCATTTTCTCCTTCTGGTTTTGCTTAACGATTAGGTTCTTGGATATGATTTTGCCTGCGAACGACTGTTTGTCGTTGTCTCGGATTATTTCGTAACACTTGGCAAAACCGCCCTATTAACAGAAAACAATCGTCAATTACTCCTGGCTGTATTAACAATTTGGCGAATGCACCATGAGCACTGAACACCAATACAGAGAAATTGCTACGAAGTAATAGGAAATACATATAAGCAAGTACGCGGGAATAAGAAAGCATTGCCCAATACAGTATAACCTCTGTAATCCGAACTAATTATTGCAAAGGCCAATCAAATCTTCATCCCATTGCAAAATGATTTCATCTTGTTAAAGTACCTCTTGCAGAAAGCAGTCTTTCACGATATGTAATTCATAGAGCCGTCAGCGTACTCACAAAACAACTACACAAGTTTCATCAAACAAAATCTGTGTAGAACCATTTTTTTTAAGATCTGGTTCTACTAACAATTTCAATTTATGACTGCCAGCGGCGTTTGAACAAGGCATTAATGTAATTCTGTTCTTGTCCATTTAACCACTTGGGCCTCAGATTGATCAAGTGTTTTTGAGGACATAATTTCCAAAAAAGATCAGTTTTGTCTGCATTATAGATTTGGTGCAACAACTGCATTTTCCGTGGACGTTGTTTCGAAGCAGTTCTTTGAATGGCTCTACGACTCCTTTGCCAGTGAATAATTGTTCGCCTCTGGTGGATAGTTGTCGAATTTTACACTACAGCACTCATTTTAAAAACTTTGAACTTAAAAGATTGGAGTTCTTCTGTCTCGGCCCGCAATGTTCGGATTAAAGAGGTTTTACTGTACCTACTTTTAAGCATACAAAATGAAAGGGGGTGGCTTTTTGCTGGCCAGAAATGCTAAAAAGGGCTCAAAAAGGCCAAGGCTAATTAACCCTCTTATATCTGCTAAGAACATTATTGAACACAAGTAAAGCCCCTAACAGAATATAACCAACTGCATCCAAAAAGCCCCCCCGCAGAACATTTTGAACAGAAAATACTATTCAAGTACTGGACATTTGGGTCTTGGTGGTCCCAGGGCACTTTAAAACATCTTATTTTCGATGCTTTGGGTATATTTACGCACAGAGGAACTCTAAATATTTTGTTTTTGTATTCGGTTTTGTCGTTTATGACTGACGGAATTCCAAATATTTTGGATTTTTAACTGAAAAGTATGCTAGGTATTAATCAGTTTCAGTGGGAAGAAGCCGGGGATTGTCCACAAAATCAGCGGGAGTCATAACCTTAGGGCTTTAGCTCCGGCACATGGCCATTTTGTTAACATTTCAGTGACTTAGTTAGACTAACTAATGTTTGGATGGAAGCAGTCACATTAAAGCGGGGGAAGAGTTTAACGGTGAGGGTAGCTGATGAAAGCCCATAGGCCTTTAAAAGCCGTGTTTTGGTTAAAATGGACGAGAAAAAGCCCCTTCCTCACCTTGCCAAAGTAGCGGCCTTTCTTGTAGCTGATTGCTTTGGTGTTGTCGTACATGACAGACGGGATGTGGTCGGTATCGCTGGACATGTTGGGGCCGTTGCGCGTTTTTCTACTTGGAAACCAGGGCTTCGCTGAAATCTCACTAAATTTGCGCTTACAACCACACTGAAACCGACACTGGTTGACTGTAAACGTCTAAAATCAAACGGCCGTTGCTGATTGGTGGGTTTGGAAAGACCGTTGACAGATTACAGGGATCTGCTTGTCAACAACGTTTGAAGCACCAGCGACGTATAAAATGAGGGCGTGGTCCTCGATGGTGTCCAATGCAACTGGAAAAGATCCGAATAATTAATTTAATTGATTAATTTGGGTTTATGACCGCACTTTCTGATGAGTGCTTGTAGTGGAATGTCGCACGGTGAAAAGGAAAAGCAACCAAACTAGGTCATTATCAGCAAAATTCTTCATTAAAAGCCTATTGTAATTGATTTCGTAATTTGGCACGTTTTTCCTACTCATTAGTGTAATACTGCACGCATATTGGAGGCTTTTCGCCCATATATGCGGATATCGGTCATTAACAAACCTGCAGGAAAAAGAACGCATTCTATTCGACCTGACGATTATCGCATATAAGTTGGCCCATTATCGGGCCCCTAATGGTAGGGTCAAGGTAAGTGAAGAAGCCTCACGTGGTATGCGGCGGAATGTCCTTCTCGCCCGCAAGTTTCACCTGCGTATAAATATCAATCTTGATTGGTTTGTCGCTTCAGTGTCCATCCTGCTTGAGACGCGTTGCTGACCTTCGCGTTTTTTACTGTGCATCTAGAACAACAGGTAAAATCTGTAAAACACACACGGAAGTCGCCCATATTCAATGAGTTTGCTCAATTAGCGCGCGGTTGCTGATTTTATTATAATATTTTGCGATTGATTTGCGCTTTTCTAGAGAAAAACAATGTTGAAATCCATTCTCGTGCTTATGGCTGTGGCCTATGTGAGTGCCGACTTACCAGCAGGAAGATCGCTAGCCGCCCCCGACGTCCAACTATGCCAGCGGCGCTCCATTCATGAACTCGGCCCTGACGGTAGGATTTCCCCATTGCATATCCCGCCCTATTTTCTATAAACCCGCCAACGTTTCGCTTGCAGGCAAGGGCTACTTCTTCAGTTGGCGCGACCCCGCCTTGGCCACCGCCCAGTACGATTGGTTGGACGCGCGCAATTACTGCCGCCGCCAGTGCATGGAAACCATCTCCTTGGAGACTTCCGTGGAGAACGAATGGATCAAGGAGCGCCTGGTGAAGGATAAGGTAAGATTAGTCAGTGGCAGCGACACGCGGGGACTTGTAAAGCTGGGCTTGCAGGTCAAGTACATCTGGACTTCAGGTCGCAAGTGCGACTTCAAAGGATGCGACCGCCCAGATCTGCTCCCCAATGAGGTAAATGGCTGGTTCTGGACAGCCACCTTGGAGAAACTGGCGCCTGCCACGCAGCGCGACCAGAACGACTGGTCCCCAACGGGGGGCATCGGCAAGCCCCAGCCGGACAACCGCGAGCCCCAGCAAGGCGGTAAGTTGGACTTCAATTTCACTTTTTCTGTATTACTCAGCTCTGTTTACAGGTGCTGAAGAAAACTGCCTGGCTGTGCTCAATCAGTTTTACAACGATGGCGTTCACTGGCACGATGTGGCCTGCCACCATGTGAAGCCCTTCGTTTGCGAGGAAAACCCAGAGTTGGCCCGCCTAGTGCCATTCATCCACTAGTCGCCAAATGACTTTGTTACTTATTATAGAATGGAAATAAACCAGTTCTTAAAACTTGCCTGTCTTTAATCGGGGCCCCAAAAGCTCGGTGATTCATTGACTTGTCCTTTCACTTTGACATCTGACGCAACTTTTCAGCTCAAACTGCGCCACTTCTGGTTTAACCGGAAGTTGATGCCAGACGGTTAATCGCAATTTAACTTGTAAAATTTTTGAAATATCGGACGCCTGTTTGTACTGCGACTGGGAGAATTCCGGGATTTTTTCTGGGGGGAATTTTTCGGCGCAATTGGGCGCATAAAGCATGAAAAACAGGAAGTTTTGAATTTGGTGCCTAAACAATGTGCGGCAAAACTCACGCGCCGTAACAATGGCAACTGAAGTTGTCAAAGTTTAAGGCAGTGACTGTCAAAGTAGTTTTTATGCAAATTTTCGAATTTCCCGGCTTGAAGAGGCGAAATTGAGTGTGAAAGTGAATAAAGCTTTGATTTGAAGGGAACATTTTGCCGCTTAAAGGGCCCTAATTTGGGGCACTCGGTAAGCAAGGCCGCTTTCAAGAACCCAATCGGACCCTCCAGCTTGTCAACCTTGAGTGGTCTTCCCAAAATTGATCAATTGCCTCATCCAGTAGAATCGATGTCACAATCAATTCCTCTCAAGTGCCTGTTGGATCTTCGAACAATCACAGGCTTATCAAAATGCGGCGATAAGAGACGCGACTGGAAAAAATATCCATTGCAACCCGAAGTCCGTCAGTATGGAGCCGGAGAGAAGGTAAGGAGTGGTTTTTGAGCCCTAGCGGCTCTCAGAAGCATTTTTTCCAGGTTTGACAACCATTCCCAGGCCAGAATCAAGCTGACGCTGCGCTACAGCGTCCAAAGGCAACGCTTGATCGTCACCGTCCATGATATCGAGTAAGTTCTCCTAGGCGATCGGCCGCAGGATTTGAGGCTCTGACGGGGTTTCAGGAATTTGGATCGGGACGACACCAGGGGGCTCTATGTGAAGCTCTATCTGCTTCCAGAACGCGGAAAGGACACCAAGCGAAGAACCATGGTAAGGGCCCTGTTTGTGACTAAATAAAGGCTTACGAGGTTGATTGTAGGTAGTGAAAACGCAGAAGAGCCCAGTCTTTGAGGAAACTTTTGAGTATGCCATGCAACAGGGCGAGCTGGGGCAGAAGCGGCTGGAAGTGTCTGTTTGCGAAGAGCGCATAATCAAGAATGAGCCTGTTGGGAAGGTTTGCACAAGTTTAATATCGAAAAATCGACAGAGTGGTATTGTTTGAGCCCTTCCAGGTGGTGGTCGATCTTGATAGGATCAGTTTGGTGCTGGCGCACACCAAGCTCTTCCCTCTTTCCAGGAACCACTCCCAAAACTAAGCACCGAATGCGGAAAATCCCTGCTGTTGACCAACGTAATTTTCCAGATTTTTTATTAGTGTTATCCCTTTTTTTTATTAAAAATATGTTTTTTTTGCCAGTAGAGGTCAATTTTACTTCTTTAAAACATTTGAATTTGGGCTTGAAATAGAGTGGTTGCATAGCGCGCGCTATCTGCGCGTCAGTCTCCCAACCAGGAGCAGTTGACCAGTCGGTATCGCTCGATTAAGCACGAGTATATCGTCGTTCTTTTTCTCATACACGAGAGTCTCTCTGGCCTCGTCTAATGCTTCTGATCGGCCAAACGTCATTTAAACGCCCGCATGAGATTATGAACACAGTCTTGGCTGATTTTTAATGTTTTTAGTTTTGACAATTTATTTGTTAGTTTGTGTCATATTTTATGTGTTTTAGTAGTGTTTGACTACATTTGTCATTTAGTGAGCGCGCTTCTTTATACCTAATTAGGGCTTGCCAACATGACTTCGGCTTTGTATTTGGAGCACTATCTTGACAGTAAGTGTTTTTGGGGATTTATGCAGTGTTTTACCCTGTTTTATTAGTTAAGGCGGCACAGCCAGCCCCAGAAATAGGGGCTGGACTAGTGGGGCCCGCTGGCAGGTCCGAAGTTTTCGGTTATGTTAGGTTAGATCGAGGGCGGACGCCTACCCAGCCCCAGCTTGAACTGGGCCCTATTTGTAACACCTATCGCAGTTCGCAGTTAAAAAGGGGATTTTTTATAGGTTTAGAGCATCTGCCCAATGAGCTGCAGCGCAATTTCACACTGATGAGCGACTTGGACAAGAGGGCGCAGGGCCTGATGAAGGGCATCGACACATTGGCTGATGAGCACCTGCGCAACGTTAAGTCGCTGAGCAGCGACGAGCAGAAGGAGCATCTGGATAAGATCCAGAACATGTTCAACAAGGCCAAAGAGCTGGGTGACGACAAAGTGCAGCTGGCGATCCAGACTTACGAGCTGGTAGACAAGCACATTAGGAAGCTGGATAATGATCTGGCGCGCTTTGAGACGGAGATCCAGGACAAAGCGCTGAACTCGCGTAACTTGGACGAGCCGAGCGTCGGCAAGAAGGGCCGCAAGAAGATCAAAGAAGGAAAAGGGGGCGACAAGAAGAAGCGCTCGGGCAATTCGAGCGAGGACGACTCGTCGGGGACGAACCGCAGCAAGAAAAAGCGGCAGAAGGGTGCCGGAGCGGAAAAGGGCGGCAGTGGGAGCGGTAGCACCGCTGCAACCTCCAGCGAGGGTGAGAATTCTCCGGCCAAACAGCCGAAATGGTCGCTTTAATCTGTTGCTTTCAGTGGCCGAAGCTGTTGCTTCAGTTCTGCCAGGACTGGCCGGGATTGCGCATCCCAGCGACGTCCTGGACATGCCTGTAGACCCCAACGAGCCCACTTATTGCCTTTGCCACCAGGTGTCTTACGGAGAAATGATTGGCTGCGACAATCCAGACGTGAGTTTACGAATTAGGTTTTGACCCAAAATATCTAGGCTTTGCCGTTTCAGTGCCCCATTGAATGGTTCCACTTCGCTTGCGTCCAGCTCACCACCAAGCCCAAGGGTAAATGGTACTGCCCCAAATGCACTCAGGACCGCAAAAAGAAGTGAAGCACTCACCAAAAAAAAACATCCATCATTTAGTTTTAAGTTCGGTTGTGATAATAAGAGGACGGTTGCATTGAAGTAGGCCTTTGATTGACTCGACGGTGTCCCATTTGCCTAAACACGGCAGAAATGCGTGTTATAACTGTGAAAAGTCCACCTGCACGATATGGTAAGCGAGGTGGGTCGCAGGCCCCCTACCCGAGCGGCAAACAAAGCGCCGCTTTAACAGTTCAAGAACAGTTCTTCGGAAGTTCACGTTCAAGGCGAGCGGATTCTTCACTGTGATCGTTCACCTGGCCGAGATCGCGTCTCAGTGCGGCCGATGTGCTAAACCAGTGCGTGATTTTCAGTTGAAAAATGGGCGCTTTGAACCAGCGGCTTTTGCCACTATGGGTAAGTACTCACTAATCACCGGACTTACTTACCGGAGCAATGACTAATCGCCTGATTGACCGGACCAGGCGCGAAAAGAACAGTTAGGCAAAGGTCAACGCTTTATTATGTGTGTTTATTATCCTAAATGGGTCAGGTAATTTATGCATGTCTCGCGCTAGATCCTGCTAGTGGGCCTCTTGACCAAACAGGGCTGGGGTAAGTTGGAAGCCAACCACTGCAAGGGGGGCGGCCAGTTGAAGTACCTATGGGGCGACGCCCTCACGGATGATCCGGGGTGCGTGGGCCCCTCCAACCACCCTTACCCCATGTAAGTACTAGCGTCTCACTAAGACTGTTTGCGTAACTCACGTCGTAATCAGTCAGGCGGTGGAAAGGTCGCTAAAAGGGGGCCGCACTGGAAGGGCCCACAACCCCACCATCGACCCCTACCAGACGCGATCCGCCCTCATGGCGGCGTTTGAGGGCAACCACGCGGAGAGCCATTTGCTCCCCAGCTCCAGGCGTGGCAGGGCGGCTTCCGTGGGCTCCTGCGGGGGGTTGCCGCCCCGACTCTGTAAAACCCGCTACAACACCACAGCTCCCATGTACGGGGTGTCGCTCACCTCCGGCCAGCCAGTCACAATAGTGCAGAAGTTCCCCGACTTACTGCAGCAGGTGGTTTTCGAGGTAAGCGCTTGGCTTGAGGATGGACCGCAGGTTGAAACGCGCCGTTTTAGGTTTGCGAGAGCTCGGAATGCGAGCTGGTACGGGGCGAGTGCACTCAGACCTACGTGCCCTATTTATTTTTGGTGATCCCGCTGGGGCCCGTTACCCTAACGGGGCAGGACTACGTCTTAGTGGAGAGCGGCTGCGTGTGCAGGCCCAAGTACCCCGCCGGCCTACCCAAGCCCTAGAGGCTCCAATGGGACTCAGTCGATCAATGTGTCAAATTTCAGAGCGAATGTGTGACTGGATGTGTGAATGGAAAAAGTAATTTTGTAGATTTATTTGTTTTTAATGTTCCCGCCCGTCCACTCTGTATACAGTGTTGCGCCAATTAAATATACAGGGTGTTTCCCCATAAGTTGGCACACCCGAGACGATTTATTTCAAAACTTTGGAAAGCGGTAAACACTAAAGTTGTTTGCCAAATCTTCACTAATCAGAAAGGAGGGCAACAAATGCTAAAAGAAGCCATAATCAATGACATTGATTGATTGACTTGAATGGCAGCTGTCGTTGAAAAATCTAGTAATGGCCGCCCTTTAAATGTCATTTGTTGCTAAAGCCCAAAAGTAGTAGTTTGCACTTGACTTTAAGGCCTTTTTCGGGGCCGTTTTGTCTCACTCTCCCATCCACTTAAGGCTGTTCTTCACAATTTGCTTCCTTTTAGCGAATGCTGTCAATTTTTCACTTAGTTTATGGCGCCAAAAATGCGAAACCACAACGTTTTCAAAATGGCGGCTGTGAAATGTCACTTTCAACTAACCTGCCAAATCCATGGCACTGCTTAATGTTGAATAAATAAAGGACTTCGATTTATTTCAAAACTTTGGAAAGTGGTAAACACTAAAGTTGTTTGCCAAATCTTCACTCATCAGAAAGGAGGGCAACAAATGCTAAAAGAAGCCATAATCAATGACATTGATTGATTGACTTGAATGGCAGTTGTCGTTGAAAAATCGACTAATGGCGCCCTTTAAATGTCATTTGTTGCTAAAGCCCAAAAGTAGTCGTTTGCAGTTGACTTTAAGGCCTTTTTCGGGGCCGTTTTGTCTCATTCTTCCACCCACTAAAGGCTGTTCTTCCCAATTTGCTTCCTTTTAGCGAATGCTGTCAATTTTCCACTTAGTTTATGGCGCCAAAAATGCGAAACCACGTTTTCAAAATGGCGGCTGTGAAATGTCACTTTCAACTAACCTGCCAAATCCATGGCACTGTTTAATGTTGAATAAATAAAGGACTTCGAAGGATATTACAAAAAAACAGCAAAATCGGGTAAAAACGTGCTTATCTCAAAGTACCAAAAGTGCAAAACAACAACGTTTACCATGTGGCAAGTCTTTGGTCTTCGGTGCTGGTTCCTAACCTCTACGTCGTCTTAGATGGACATACCGACTCGCTCTGTACAGTGGTCGTTCTCGCGCCCCCTCATCAGGGCTTTGAACATATGGCTATATACAAGTTTGGGGCCGAAACAGTCAGTCTGGCAACGTACGCAGATACTGCGCAGGCTCCTTGAGGTGCACCGGCAGCAAATAGCCCTGCGCATCCAGGAGTTCCGTGTCGGAAAGGGTGCGGATCAGGGGCGGCGGCCTGGGGAGGGTTTTGGGCTTGACTTCGCCCTCCACTCGCACCTCCACTTGGGGCTTTTCCCACAGCGGCGGCCTGGGCAGTTTCAGGGCTTCGGCGGACTGGGCCTGCGCCAGGACCTCTTTGACCCGCGTGAAGGAGATGCGCAGTTTCGGCGCGCTGTTCCAACAGTCGTTCATCAGGGAGATGATTGGCGGAGGCGCGTCCTCGGGTGGAACCAACATCACGCCATCTAAAATCAGCTTCACCACCTGGAAATATCGGGGGAATTAGTGGGAGGTTGAGGAGAAGACGCAATCCAGACCTCCTCATTGGTGTGTCCATAGTAGGGCTGCTTGCCAAAGCTGTAGATCTCCCAAAGAACCACGCCGTAGGACCAGATGTCGGATTCCAAAGTAAATCGGCCGTAGATCACGCTTTCTGGAGACATCCAGCGCACGGGCAGCAGTCTGGAGCCTCCAATCTGGAAAGGTTTTACTAGAGGACCAGAGTTGGATGGGGGAGGAGCTTGCGCACCTTGTAGTAGTCGCAAGTGTAGACGTCTCGGCTCATCCCAAAGTCCGCGATCTTCACCGTGGGGCCTTCGGCTAGCAGGCAGTTGCGACAGGCCAGGTCACGATGCACAAACCTCTGCGCCGCCAAGTACTCCATTCCGCTGGCGATTTGGAGGGCGACGCGCAGCAAATCAACTGGGCGAAGGCGCGGCTTGGCGTCGCCCGAGGGCGGTTGGTGCTGAACGCGCAGCACCTCCGCCAGGTCGCCGTGCTCCATGTACTCGAAGACCATCATGGGGCTGAGGTTCTCCTCCTTCCCCCGCAGCACCACTCCAATGAAGGAGAGAATGTTGGGATGTTGGAAGGTGCTCATTATCTCCACCTCCCGATAGAAATCCTCCTCCGCCTCTTTGCTGGCCGACTCTTTTAGAACCTTAACGGCCACGATGTCCGGCTTCCGGTCGGCTGATCTGCGCAGCTCGCCTGCAACAACGGGGAAATGAGGGCGACTTGGCAATGCGGCGGGTTCCTACAGGTCACACTTTAGCATATACACTGTCGGACAAAAGCAGTTGGTTCCAAGGGAGTTTTAGCGCAAGTTGGTCAAGGTTTATCTGCAAGCGAAGACTACTGAATGCATATCTACATATATACAGGGTAGTGATGTGTAGATATATTCGTAAAATTTTGTATCGCTAATTCAGGTTTTCGGATGGCCTGCGCAGCCTCCAGACTTTAGCCGCATTGAAAATCCGCTTTGGTCCCCGAAGAACACTCTTTGATAAGCAAATTGTTGCTCGACTTTTGTTCGATAGTGTATATCGGCTGGCCTTCGGCCAGTTCTGGCGACACTTCGAGCGGTTTCAGCATCATTCAGTCGCGGTTTTTCGTAGTTTTGAAATGTTTTATGCCCCGCGTGGCCGACGTTTCGCCCAATGGGGCTGCCGCTTCACCAGCACAATGCCCGCCCCTAGAGGTAAGAACACCCGGTATACAATGGAAACAATAGGGTGTTTTCATTGTATCAAAAATTCCTACAAACTGAACATTAATATATGGTAATATACAGGGTTTTTCACGCTATACGGCACGGACGTATCAATGCCTACTACCATAAAATCTTAATTTTGTTAATTTTAATTATTTATCTTGACCGAACATAAACATGTTATACATGGTTGAAGAGCATATTTAAAGGGGAATTTAAAAATTCAGAAATTCAATATGGCGTCCATAAGAAAACCGAAAGTTGACTTCGGCCTCATTGAACATAGTGGGCCTAGATTATTTTTTACTTTATTTTCAAATTCAATAAACACGATATAAAGGATTTTATAAAACGCACTTTTTTCTTTTTCCCTGTGTATCCGTTGCTATTGCGAGTTCAAAGAAGTTGACGACAGATTATTTATAGGCACTTGATTGCGCAACTTTTTCCCCATTTGGTCCACCCTGTAACTCTAACGGTTTCCAATCGTTAGCTAAAATTAAAATTATTCATAAATCTCTAAAACGCAATCCTATTGGTTGTGACGTCTCTGGTCATATAAATGGCGGATTGTTTACGTTCTGTGCATAGTTTTTAGTTGTGTGGTTGTGTTTCAATAATTATTTTGTGGATTTAAATAATTCATAGTTTGTGCTAAACTAAAAAATGGCTTCAAAAGGATTCCTTAAAGCGTCAATAAACAATTTACCATGTGTACATATTTTTATGGTTACCGAATTTTTAAAAAACGACGAACGCTTTAATTCAGCCGAATTTAAGGGTGTCAAAGCAGCAGCGTATGTAAAAATCAGTAAATTTATTATTAGTTACTCTCTCCTTAATATACTAATCTGTCTGTATTGGTTTAAATTAGGTAAATAATATATAGAATTTCACATATTCAACTTAACCTAACATATACAAATGGCTGCTTTAAAAGTAAAATGAACTCTTAAATTTGAATTTTGGGCATCACGAGAACAATATGGTGATATCGGATATGTGGAATTGAAACACGAGGGTWCTTTGKGCACTGTACAAGGTAGAATTTGCCCAGAACACAAAGTACGATYGATCGTACGGCATATTCTATCTGCCTCATCAYTAGCTTTTTGTTCGTACTTTCATTAAAATGATSCTCGCAACAAAAAAACATTGATTTTGATTTAAGAACATCACGTCTAGCTGCTTTGAACCATAAAACTTTACGTRCATAATCATGAGGAACGGTTAGAAAGAGTTTGTTTGGAGCACTTATTGAGGTATTYTTGCATYCTGGCACAAAACACCACTTATTTTGTGATTYATACATGTCACTATTTTCCACTATGCAAGATAATAATAATAATAATAATAATCAATAAAATAATGATAATCACAATAACTTAAATAATAAAACAAAGCTGCGAAAACAACAAAATAAACACGAGAGACTTTGTTGATATGACCTGCTACGTCATAATCGGGATAGGCAACCCACGATACGGATTCGGCGTTTTTGGCGGAAAACATCTGATTTGAATTTAAACTCGCTTTAAAATTATTATGGAGACTTTTCTTGCAAAAACAAATATATTAGTGTAATGTTTGCCATAACTACTTTCTATATATCAACATAAAAAAAGTGAAAACACCCTATTGTGACTAAATCCGGTAAAAACCTGCCCGTTTTTAAGCGCCAAAGGAAAAAAGGGGATTTTCCAAATGACAGCTAGGTGACGTTTGACTAACAGACTAAAGGACTAATCCGCGGCACCCCTTGACTAAAAAAACCTGGTTTGTTCAGGTCTTCCAGTGTTCGGCACGACACTTTCCCTGATGATGGCGGGTTCTTCGCCGAAACTGCACCGCTATATCGACGCGCGCCACCGCCAGCTGGGTTCCATTTTCAAAGAAAACATCGGCCCAGTGGCGTGCGTTTTCATCGCCGATCCTGCGGACATGCGCTTGGTCTTCGCCAAAGAAGGTACCATCTTCAGCTCGTTTTAAGCCCTCTCTAGGGGATGGTTCCAGGCAAGTACCCGCAGCACCTCCTGCCGGAAGCTTGGACCGTCTACAACCAGCTGCACAACGCCTCCAGAGGGTTGTTTTTCATGGATGGGGTGGAATGGTTGCACTTTCGGCGCATCCTGAACCCGGCGTTGCTGAAGGGCGACCAGCAGTGGCTGCAGCAGTGCTGTGAGCCGCCCATTGCTAGGCTGGTGGCGCAGATTTGCGCCTCTCCTGATAAGTGCTCCCCATGGGCGCCCCTTTAGCAGTGGATCTAAATCCGGGACTTTTGCAGGCCGCCCATCAGGCAGCTGCTCTACCATTGGTCGCTCGAGGTGATTGTCTCTGTGCTGATTGGGCCTGATCAGTATTGCCAGTCGAGACGTAGGCTGGAGGACCAGATTGGCTTGTTGGCGTCCAGCGTTCACTCGGTGTTTGAGACCAGTGCGAAGATGGCGCTGATTTCCTCCAGTTTGGCCGCCAAATGGCGTCTGCCCAGGTAGGATCAAAATCAGAAGAATACGTTGTGGATTTAAGTGGCGGCAGGTTATTGAAGGAGTTTACAGATTGCGCCAATGAAATCTGTGTTGATATGAAGGTAACATTTCATTTAAAATAGTTTTTTTGTTTTGAAAATCCGCCGTGAAATGAGAAAGTTATGAGCAAAATTTGTGTGGACTTCACTTAACATCTTCTAGAAATACCAGAAGAAGAGCACCGCTTGCACAAATCAAATATGCATTTAAAAGGGTGAAAAATTCCCTTTAAAATGACATTTTGACTATAAAAATCGGTTGAAAAATGTGAAAGTTATGAACGGAATATGCGTGGACTTCACTTAACACATTCTGGAAACGGCACAAGAAGGAAACCGTTTGCACCAATCATCGAAGCATTTAAAAGAGCGTAAAATTGCCATTAAAATAACATTTTCACTATAAAAATCGGCTGAGAAATGTCGAAGTTATGAGCAAAATATTTGTGGACCTCACCTAACCTCTTCTGGAAATACCAGTTGAAGAGCACCGCTTGCACCAATCAAATATGCATTAAAAAGGGCGTACAATTCCCTTTAAAATGACATTTGGACTATGAAAATCGGCTGAGAAATGTCAAAGTTATGAACSAAATATGCRTGGACTTCAATTAGCACATTCTGGAAACGGCACAAGAAGAAAACCGTTTGCTCCAACAAAWYAGGCATTTAAAAGAGCGTAAAATTCCGTTATAAATTACGAYTGGACTTTGAAAATCTACTAAGAAATGTCGAAGTTATGAGTTAAATATGTGTGGACCTCACTTAATATCTTCTGGAAATGCCAGGAGAGGAGCACCGCTTGCACAAGTAAAATATGCATTTAAAAGGGCGTAAAATTCCCTTTAAAATGACGGTTTGACTATAAAAATCGGCTGAGAAATGTCAAAGTTATGAGCAAAATTTGTGTGGACTTCACTTAACATCTGGAAATACCAGTAGAAAAGCACCGTTTGCACCAATAATATATGCATTAAAAAAGGCGGAGTAAAATTCTCTTTTAAATGAAATTTTGGCTATGAAAATCGGCTGAGAAATGTAAAAGTTATGAAGGAAATATGCGTGGACTTCACTTAACACATTCTGGAAACGCCACACGAAGGAAAGAGTTTACACCAATAAAATAGGCATTTAACAGAGCGCAAAGTTCGGTTACAAATTACGGTTTGACTTTGAAAATCGACTAAGAAATGTCGAAGCTATGAGCAAAATATGTGTGGCCTCCACTTAACATCTTCTGGAAATACCAGTAGAAGAGCACCGCTTGCACCAATCAAATATGCATTAAAAGGGGCGTAAAATTACCTTTAAAATGACGTTCTAACTATAAAAGTCGGCTAAGAAATATTAAAGCTATGAGCGAAATTTGTGTGGACTTCACTTAACATCTTCTGGAAATACCATGAGAAGAGCACCGCTTGTACCAATAATATATACATTTAAAATAGCGTAACATTCCCTTTAGGATGACATTCTGAGTATGAAAATCGGCTGAGAAATGTCAAAGTTATGAACGAAATATGCGTGGACTTCACTTAACACTTTCTGGAAACGTCAAAAGCGTAAAATACGTTTACAAATTAGAATTTGACTGYGAAAAYCGACTAAGAAATGTCGAAGTTATGAGCAAAATATATGTGGATTTCACTTAACATCTTCTRGAAATGCCAGRAGAAGAGCACCGCTTGCACCAATATTATATGTATTAAAAAGGGCGTAAAATTCCCTTTAAAATTACGTTTTGAATATAAAAGTCAGCAGCTGCGAAATGTCAAAGTTATGAACAAATTATGCGTGGACTTCCCTGAACACATTCTGAAAACGCGACAAGAAGGAAACCGTTTGCACGAATAAAATATGCATTTAAAAGAGTGTAAAATTGCTATTAAAATAACATTTTTACTATGAAAATCGACTGAGAAATGTCAAAGTTATGAACGGAATATGCGTGGACTTCACTTGACACATTTTGGAAACGTCACAAGAAGGAAACCGTTTGCACCAATAAAATAGGCATTTAAAAGAGTGTAAAATCGCGTTRCAAATTACGGATTGACTTTGAAAATCGACTAAGAAATGTCGAAGTTATGAGCAAAATATCTGTAGACTTCACTTAACATCTTCTGGAAATACCAGGAGAAGAGCACTGCTTGCACCAATAATATTTGCATTAAAAACGGCGTAAAATTCCCTTTCAAATGAAATTTTGACTATGAAAATCGGCTCAAAAATGTCAAAGTTATGAAGGAAATATGCGTGAACCTGAATTAACACATTTTGGAAACGCCACTAGAAGGAAACCGTTGGCACCAACAAAATAGGCATTTAAAAGAGGGTAAAGTTTCTTTATAAATTACGGGTTGACTTTGAAAATTTATGAGCAAAATATGTGTGGACTTCACTTAACATCTTCTGRAAATACCAGTAGAAGAGCACCGCTTGCACCAACAAAATATGCATTTAAAAGAGCATAAAATTGCCATTAAAATAACATTTTCACTATGAAAATCGGCTGAGAAATGTCAAAGTCATGAACGGAATATGCGTGGACTTCACTTAACACATTCTGGAAACGTCACAAGAAGGAAACCGTTTGAACCAATAAAATATGCATTTAAAAGAGCGTAAAATTGCCATTAAAATAACATTTTCAGTATGAAAATCRRCTGAGAAATGTCAAAGTTATGAACAGAATATGCGTGGACTTCACCTGACACATTTTGGAAACGTCACAAGAAGGAAACCGTTTGCACCAATAAAATAGGCATTTAAAAGAGCGTAAAATCGCGTTACAAATTACGGATTGACTTTGAAAATCGACTAAGAAATGTCGAAGTTATGAGCAAAATATGTGTGGACCTCGCTTAACATCTTCTGGAAATACCACGAGAAGTGCACCGCTTGTACCAATAATATATGCATTTAAAAGAGTAAAATTTCCTTTAGAATAATATTTTGACTATAAAAATCGGCTGAGAAATGTCAACTTTATGCACAAAATATGAGTGAACCTCACTTAACACATTCTGGAAATACCATGAGAAGAGCACCGCTTGTACCAATAATATATAAATTTAAAAGAGCGTAACATTCCCTTTAGGATGACATTTTGAGTATGAAAATCGGCTGAGAAATGTCAAAGTTATGAACAAAATATGCGTGGACTTAACACATTCTGGAAACGCCACAAGAAGGAAACCGTTTGCACAAACAAAATGGGCATTTAAAAGAGCGTAAAATTCCTTTATAAATTACAGTTTGACTTTGACAATCGACTAAAAAATATCGAAGGTATGAGCAAAATATGTGTGGACTTCACTTAACATCTTCTGGAAACACCACGAGAAGAGCACCGCTTGCACAAATCAAATATGCATTTAAAAAAGCGTAAAATTGCCAATAAAACAACATATTAACTATGAAAATCGGATGAGAAATGTCAAAGTTATGAAGGAAATATGCGTGGACTTCACTTAACACATTCTGGAAACGCGACACCAAGGAAACAGTTTGCACCAATAAAATAGGCATTTAAAAGAGCGTAAAATCGCGTTACAAATTACGGTTTGACTTTGAAAATCTACTAAGAAATGTCGAAGTTATGAGCAAAATATGCGTGGACCTCGCTTAACATCTTCTGGAAATACCAGGAGAAGAGCACCGCTTCCTCCAATGAAATATGCATTAGAAAGARGGTACAATTCCTTTTAAAATGACATTTTGCCTTTGAAAATCGCTTGTGAAACGCCTTAGTTATGAGTGAACACTTCACTTAACATCCTCTGGGAWTGCCACAAGACGTCYCCGGACTAGGGAACTAAACACCACAATGAACTGAACCAAAAATTCCCTTTAAAATGCTTTTTAAACGTTGAAAATCCAACGGGAAGTGTGGAAGTKGAASAAACGAAAATCTAGATACTCTAAAAATAAAAAAACCATCGGTTTCAGATGGAAAAAGTTCGAGGCGGCAGCCACCACCGCYCTAAGAGCGGCTACCGCTCTGGTCGAATCCCTTGAGAGCAATGAGGGCCTACTAGGCCGGCTGCAAGGCCAGATGRCGGCCAACGAGCTGGCCAAGATCGTAACGGACTTGATTCTGGCCGCAGGCGACACCACGGCCTTCTCCATGGAGTGGCTGCTCTACTTAGTGGCCAAACACCCGGAGGTGCAAAGCAGGCTGAGGACGGAGCCTACAGAGGTAAGTCCCTCAGCAGGCCACGGCTATTGAATCTATTCAGAAGCTGATTTCAGAGCCCCTACTTGAAGAACACAGTCAAGGAGGCCTTGCGGCTCTACCCAGTGGCGCCCTTCCTCACCCGGATCCTGTCGGAGGACATTCAGATCAAGGGCTTTGATATTCCGGCCGGGACTGTCCTGATTTTGTCCATTTTCACTTCTGGTCGCGACTCTGAAAGCTTTCCAGAGCCGCAGCGGTTCGATCCAGAGCGCTGGGCGGAGGGGCGCGCCCTTCGCGCGGCCTCCCTGCCCTTTGCAATGGGCTCTAGGTGACTTTCCACTCTTTACCCTGGTCAGGATTGTCGAAAATTGGGTCTTTTAGGTCGTGCATCGGGCGCAAGCTGGCCGAATATCAGCTCCAGACCACGTTGGCCCAGCTGGTAAGTCGCTTCCAAGTGGAGGCGCTTAACGAAGTCCAGATGGTGTTGAAGATGGTGGCGGTGCCATCCGCAGAAGTCAAGTTCCGGTTTATGGCCATTTAGTCTAAATAAATAGGGTTCAGAGGCGCTTACCTTTATAAACCTTGCCAAAGCATCCCTCCCCCAGCTCGTCCAAGAAGCGGACGGAGTCCCTGGGAATGATCGGGACCTCGGAGCCGCAACAGCTGGAGTATTGGGGATTGGGGGCGTAGCGCTCCGGCACCAAAAGACTGTGCTTCATGTTGACGGGCGAAGCCTGCCGAAGAATGGAGGGCGATTGAGAGGTCCCGTCAAGTTGCATGCTTACCGCGTCCGCCCGCCTCTTCTGAGCGCGCTTCCGCACGCAGCAGACCATCCAGGCGAAGAGCGCCGCCCCCAGCAAGCCCACCACAACTGGCACCAGAAGGCTGACGGCGCCGATGCCGCCCCCGATGGCCGCCATTGGCTGGTCGCCCTACAACACCCCCACTCTCACTCTCTGGGGGTAACCAATGGCAGAGCAACTTACCGTCAGGATTGTCGTTTGGTTGAGGCCGGCGTCTGGCTCTTTGGGCGGCTGCACCGGGATCTTCTGCTGCACGATCTGGTCCTGGGTGACTGCAAAGAAAGACACTGAGGATGACTGGGCGGCCGAAACCTGTAGGCTGATGTAGATGGGACGAGGCTAAAATTAGCCGGCATTGTTTACGCACTGTCCAGATGTGTGCGAGCGTTCCGAAAGCATTAAAGATTTAATGGCGCACTCAAGCTCTGTTTACCGGCGTCCGATTGTTCTTGGCGGGCGGCTTTAAGTAGGTGCCAACTATTCGGCAGTAGATACGTCATGTTCAATGAGTTTTGCGTGCGAGCTCGCCTGTTTCCTATGAATCCTCCAAGTCCAGTCCGTCGTCTTCACGCTCTTCCGCATAAATAACCAACTCGCAGTCACTCCAATCGGCCATCAGCTTGTCCAACAGCGGGCCATTCCGAATTCGATCGGGATAATGAGACGATGTTTTTTCCATTGTGTTCTGGCCCACGCTGACCGGTGGGCGTCTTCTGGTGGTACCATCCGATAACCATCAGGCTGATTGCAAAGCTTCTTTGGGGCTTATCGGTGCCAATGGGTTTTCAAGCGGCGTTTTTTCGTTCGTAAATCGACTGAGAACTGGGGAATTTATGCCAAGAATTGGCTTAATATTTTCTCGGGATGCCACAGATACAAGATGGTTGATCGTGCCATCATCAAAGACTTGACGCTACTTAATTTACTGCTTTGATTGCACCGACCGATAACCCGATGAAAAGAGCATAAAATTTCCTAAAAAATGACACATCGACTTTGGAAATCGACGGAGAAATGCAGACTTTATGTGGAAATTTAGAACGATCTTCACTTAACATCTTCTGGGAACGCCAGAAGAAAAAA